CACGATTGATCGAGTGAGAATACTCTAAATTTTTCCGCTTAGAGAGAAAACCTCAATGGACCTCCTCGTTTAGCAGAATCATGCCACCATGAGTGATCTCGGTTGAACCAGTTGCAACTGCTCCTTGCCAACGACCACACTGCTGAATAATATCAGACTTAAACTAATGCAGTTCAATGCTTTGAAATAGTTCCATAGTCTTGTAGACAGAAGTAGCAGAATACAAAAATATTAATTTATTATTGTTGAATAGCTTTTTTAAAACTCTACTGGCTTGAATTGTTTTTGAATGAGAAGTGTATTAATATAGAACTAATGGTGATAATTTTCCCACAATGCTATATGTAGACCTTACGTTTACATCGAGCTTCACTTTGTATTGCTTCGCCAAAAGCATTCTCAAGGCCAAGTGAAATCCGATGGAAACGAGAGGCCTACTCATATGCTTCAAATATCAGTCCTATATTAACTTGTTTGAAACTCGGATGAATGGAACCCTTATTAAAGAGTTACTTATAGTTTCAAACCTTACTCTAAACGAATGTATCTTTCTTGAAATATCTTTAAATTTATCTAGCCACATGCCGCGAAACTACATGCAAAAATGGAGGAAGTTGCTTTGAAAGCAATGGAAACAGCTTTTGCTCCTGCCCTACAGGATATTATGGGTCTGATTGTGGAACTGGTAGGTCTATCACTTAGTCCTATTCAATACTTACTTTTGCAAATAATAATTCGATCTATTTAACTGAGTGGTTATTTTCAGTCAGAAGGCTGGGCTTCATTTATTTTATACAATAAGAAGTGGGTTTATACACTAATCTCATGTTTTACGCTTTTTGAGCCCGCTACAATTAGAGTAATAGTGTATAATGAAGACTTATAAAGGTAGAATCATCCGTTCCAATTAGTTATCTATCAATCAAGATGTATAATAGATATATCGATGGATAGATGGATATTTTCCAACCTTAGGTAGTGATTACGGAATTTTATCCACTCAAATACCATGACAGCTAACAGTCATATATTTGCCTTGGTAGCTTCATCTGCACAATGAGCCGATTTTGGGCTTTTCAGAATTCGACAGTTTTTCTGTGAATCGAGTCTATATTTGAGATATTGGGCCGAGAGTGAGGAAGCAATGTAGACTCGAAAACTGGATGATAATCAAACATAAAGAATAAATAATTACAGATATTAGTACCCTGACATTATAATATTATAAGATCATAATAACTGAGGGGGACCACAAGCCAGTAACCATAGGAACATATTTTCATAAATGGCATAATCCTCGCAGCCTTCGGCGCAGAATCATGGATTTAGGACCACCTCGGTGATAAGTCTAGCCATTTTTTATTGAGTGGATTAAAAATATCCCCCTAGCAAATTAATAAAATATATAATTAAAGTGTAAATATATAACAATGCAACAGCTTTTATGAGAAATAAAAGAATATGCAGATATGGAGACTAAGACGTTGTGGCCTGCATTTTCTTAGCCGTATAGACGTGGTTTGACCTTGTTCTCGCAACTTGGTCGTGTTATCAGGGCGACCTATTTGAACACACCTTGTCCTAAGTCTTCTGCTACAATAGTTATAAGAAATATCAGTGTAGAGCGGTGGACTTGGTATATTCCCAGACGTTTCGCCGGCATCGTCAGTGAGTCTTGCCACAACTCGATAGAGAGAAATACAGGGAACTCTATCCTTTAGCCAACTTTCTGTCGAACCGTAGAGTTAGTACTACTTTTTCTGTCCTCACACATCTACTAACTCCCTACCCTCTTATCTCATTCTCTCGTACCTGTTAATCATGTACCAGAAAAGAATCAGGAGTGATAACACAACCGTTCGGCAGAAAGTTGGTCGAAGAATGGACGACTTGTAGTTTGGTGCTAATACTGGCAAAGCTGGCAAGTGTCTGAAGATGTATCAAGTCCACAGTCCGACGATGGAAATTATTATAAGTGCAATGGCAGAGGATTTCAAACGAAGTGCATTCATCTATATCGTCCTAGCAACATGACCAAATTGCAAAAAAATGCATTAAATTAGCAGTTTACTAGTTGAAAGCGAGGTTCCGCAATTTCTGCAATGAGTTAATTGACTCAGCCGCCTCAAAAATGTTAGATGGGTCCATTTTATTTAGTCATTTAACAAGAATTCATTCGGGCGTTTTCCTGTCTCTAGCCCACAATGCCCGCAGGAAAATGAGTTAAAACATCGGACATCAGTCCCTAAGCTACCGAAACGCTGACAGTTTAATTCAGCTTACAGTTAATGTCGAGTTAGTAGTAGCATAAATTTATGGAAGAATCTCGAGTAAACCATGTTGCCTCTAAATATGTGACTTTAAACAATAATGGATGTTTCATGACTTGTGGTAGGTTTAATTAATAGAATGTATATTGTTCGCCATAGTCTCAGCCTCACATGACTTCCTCAACCTTAACTTTGTTTTATTTCTATGGCAAAAAAGTAATATTAATCCAGAGAAGCTGCAATTTTGGTGGGCATTTTATTAAATACAGGCTCATATACTGCTTTGGTTTATCTCCCTCTTATATGAAGAAAAACTTGGCTCAAAATAATTCTTGTGAGACGAATTCGCGAAGTCCTTACAACTAACTTTTAATTCGAAATGAAAAGTCATGTCACAACACCTCTCTCATGCCAGAACAGGTACAGGATCCAATTGATTTTAACTATATCTGTGGAAATTTGTGAGTCGCTAGTTAAGACAGCACCCCGTATTCACAGTTTTTTCACCCTGTTCCCGTTTACGGAGAGATGTGAATCCCATATTATTGTATCATCCAAAATGTTGGTATTTGTAATCGTTAACCATCTCAGTCCCATCCTTTTCGTTGCTCCGGTCTTTTTTCTGGTCTTATCACTTTTAATGCCAGCGGTGGTTTGCGTCGACTCGGCGCCAATGGCGATAGAAAATGTCATTCTGCTGTTTGCTATGCAGTACAACATAGTTTTAAAAATGATTTATAAGCCTCCAAGTACCGAGAAAGTGAAAAATATATCCAAACATAAAAAATCAAGCGCTAATGGGGCTATAAAAAGAGAATTAAATGACATGTTTTGTTTTCTCCCTTTAAAGGCATTTGCCAGAACTTCGAGTGCGCGAATGGAGGGACCTGCAGTCCAAATAATGACCTTCCATCTTGCTTGTGTGCACCCGGCTATTCTGGGGATTATTGTAAAAACCCAGGCGAAGGTATGACTTATTCATCAACTCTTTCTACCAAGTATACTATCTCGGTGTCTTTGAGGTTAGCATTTCTTTATCTCCCTAAAAGCTTGATCATCCGAGCTGGACAGCAGCCTTGGTCTCCCTGATGAGTTTGCTCCGCTGGGGGCGCTAAGGAGACCCAGGTGAGACCGAAGCTGTTATCAAGACAAGCTCTGGGAGACATGCCCTAGGGAAATTCAACGGCATTAAGGGGCATTCTCCTTATATCATCAGAAAATAATATATGCCATAATGTGTTTCACTCTTCTCAGAGGACATTAAAAACTGTGTTATAGTGAAGTCTCCGAAAGCTGGTGAAATTCCGACGCAATGACTGTTAAATAACTGTCGAGCTGACGTTTCCATTGAAAGCAAGGTTATGTTAAATTCACTGGAAACGTCATCTCTACTCATATCATTGTGGCAAAATTGTACTACCATTCTTTCATCATCTTAAACGAAATAGGGTGAATACATCTCATATAGGATGACTTAACTGTATAATGAATTCCTTGATGTTGATAATGTATTATAGTGATAACCTACACATCGAGGAGAATGATAATTTTATGGCGACACATATTTTTAGATGGAAATGAAAACAGAGATATATACAAAAAACTAGAGAGCAGGATATGCTTTACACGATGCCTTAGGTTGCTGACCTTACACCGCCATCTCGAGGGATCTGAACACTTTATCCCGCATCCTACACTTCCTCTATCAACCAGTCAATTTTCCTAAGATTCCTGTTTTTTGTACCACGTTTTGACCTGCTTAGCCTCATCCGACAACTTTTCGAGTCCAGTGACTGTCTATATGGAAGGTCAGTGCTTCCCGACCTCGGGAATCTGCCCAACTCAGGGTCGGTATTCGGTCCAGTCTGAGACAGCAGTAATGGACAACAATCAAGCAGATGTAATTGCCCGGTTGAGCAAGAAGAGTGTGGCGGAATGTGCAAGTGAATGCGGCAGAAGAACTGACTGTGAAGCCTTCGAAGTAAATTCAGATGTAAGCAAAGGAATTCTGCGCTTTTTCGCCTTCCTCATTTATCCCTGGAGTCCTTCCAGGCCCTGAGAAAAGGATTTTCGTAAATTTTAAAGAAATATTTCACAGTTCACCTCGTTATCGGGGACTTGAAACAGTTTGTACATCTATCTCTCCATATGTATGTATGTATGTATGTATGTATGTATGTATGTATGTATGTATGTATGTATGTATGTATGTAT